GGGCGGCATTCCCGTGCCGTTGTCCCTGATGCGAACCTCGATGTGCTCGTCGGCTCGCATCGATTTGAGCCAGATGGTCGGCTGGAACGCCTCGTTGCGGAGGCCATCTCCGAGCGGTGGCGGTCCCTGGTTGCGTGGCCCGCGTTGGTCACCATGTTCAGGAAGACCCGTCCCAGGTCCTGCGCGATGACGTTCAGCTGGCCGACGTCTGGGACCGAGGTCCTGCTGGATGTCCAGCTGGAAATCCGGGTCCAGCGCCCGGGCGCTGTGGAAGGACAACTGGGCGTGGCTGCTGGATGAGGCCGTTGATGTCGGTGAGTTGCCACTCCCGGAGTCGCGGCCCATCATCAGCATGTCGCGCACGATCCGGTCGGCGCGCTCGCCGTGGGAGCGGATGCGGTCCACGTTGGGCGGTTAGGTCGCCTGCGATCTCGTTGATGTACGACCTGTTCTCCTCGCTGAGGGTCGTCGCCGGCATCGTCGAGCACCTCCTTCAGCTCCACGATGAGCTCCTCGGAGGCCTCGGCAAAGTTCTTCACGAAGTTCAGTGGGTCTTGATCTCGTGGGCGACGCCGGCTGTGAGTTCGCCCAGGGCAGCGAGCTTCTCGCGCGTCACAATCTGATCCTGCGCCCGGTGCAGCTCGCCAGGACCCCTTCGAGCTGCTCGTTCTTGCCTTGCAGCTCTCGGCGAGTTGCTCCACCAGGTTGAGACGCTGCACCTCCAGGGCGTGACGCCGGAACACTTCCAACGTGGCGGCCATGTCGGCGACCTCGTCCCGGCCGCTGATCGGGACGATGACTTCGAGATCGCCGCCGGCCATGCGCCGCATCCAGTCCGACAGCAGGGCAATGCGCCGCAGCAGGACCTTGCCCACGAACAGCCAGATGATCAGGAGCGCCGCGACGACGCTGACCCCGCTGATCGCCAACAGCAGAGTTCGGGCGGTGCCTATGGCCTGCTCGGACGCGGTGGTGGCTTCCTCGACGCCCTCCTGCGAGGCACCCACCAGGCTGTCCACCTCGGTCACCAGCGTTAGCGAGAGTTCGCTGTTCTGGGCGAGCAGGTCCTGGTTGTGCTCCACGATCTCGAACTCGCTCGCAGCCAGATCAAAGGAGTTGTCCCTACCGAGTCCCAGCTCGCGCAGCCGCGAGAAAAATCGGTGCCGCGTTGGTGTGGAACTGCGTGCCTGCCAGCGCCGCCAGATTCCGGTCGATCCGGCTCGCGGCTGCTTCGAATCGCTCCCTGAGCGGCTCCAACAGGGTCTTGTCCGACAAGGTGAACGCGGTGGCCAGCAGGTCAGAGGCGATGTTGGCGTCGGCCTCCAGCTCGGCCAGGCGCCGGTACCGGAAGACCTCCCCCTCGGAGAAGTGCTCGGACCGGGGGACCGGCGGCGCGTCCAGGTCGGAGTAGCCGGTCAGGGTGTAGAAGAGCTGGTCGTCGATGGCGGGGATCAGCACTGTGCTCACCTGGTTCCGCAGGCCCACCAGCTGCCCCTGCTGTGCGGTTCGTTGATCGATTATCTGCAGCCTCGCCGAGACCTCGCTCCGGATCTCCTCGATATTGGAGATGAGCATGTCGGCGCTCTGCCGGATCTGTTCGACGCTGGCATCGTCGCTGTCGCTCTGCTCCAGGACCGCCATGTGATCCTCGAACGTGAGCACGGTCTGATTGACTCTCTCCCCTTCCTGGAAGAGCTCCAGCGACGTGGAGGCCGCGGCCAGGCTGGGGGCCGCGTTGGCCAGGATCCCGCCGTACTGCGCGACTCCGAATGCGGCGGCCAGTTCGGGCACGCTGCCCTCGTTGACCCGCCTCTGCACATCGCCCACACGGTTGAAGGAGAACCAGCCGACGAGGCTGGCAGCCAGCGTCATGGCGACCGCTCCGCCGATGCCCATGTAGAGCTTGGTCGAGATGCGGGACCAGATCCCGAGCGTCGGCCTCATCGAGGCGTCTGGGCAGGTCGTCGGGCGTGGCTGTATCGGGGTCGTCTGTTGGCAGGTCGTCGGGCGTGGCTGTCATTGGGTCGTCTGTTGGCAGGTCGTCGGGCGTAGTTGTGATTGGGTCGTCTGTTGGCAGGTCGTCGGGCGTGGCTGTCATTGGGTCACCCAGCGAGCGGTCTCGTGCAGGGTCTCGACGGGGTGGTACTCGCCGTCGGAGCCGATCACCGTCAAGAAGACCTCGTCCGAGCCCTGGTTGTCGCCGTCGCCGAATTGCAGCTCGAATCCGTCGATGTCGAAGTCGCCGCGGTCGATCAACTGCTCCAGCAGGCAGGATCGGTCGACGTCCGCACCGCACTCCTGTAGCGCGGTGATCACCAACCGTCCCGCCAGGTAGCCCTCGAGGGAGACGAACCCCGGCTCGGCCTCCGGGTCGTGGTTTGCCAGAGCGTCCAAGTAGGCATGCACGACCGGCAGCGAGTCGTCCTCCGGGAACGGCACGACCTGGGTTACCAGCACCCCTGCACCGTCGGGTCCCAGCTCCTGGGCCAGGGCGTTGCTGCCGACGAAGGAGACCGTCATGAAGACGGGGTCCATCTCTGTGCGGCGCGCCCAGGAGATCAGCCTCGCGACCGGCTCGTAGGCGCCGATCATGATCACCGCTTCGGGGTCGCCAGGGCGCAGGTCCAGAAGGGCGGTCTTCACCGCAGTGGTGTTGCGCGGGTAGATCCCGATCGAGGTGGCTCCATGCCGCGCCGCTCGAGCGCTTGGACCGCGCCCCGGAAACCGGCCCCGACCGAAGGAGTCGTTCTGGTACAGGACGCCTATCGGCTGATTCCCAGATCACTGGTGAGCCTGGCGACCATCTCCTCGGTCTCTTGGGCGTAGGAGGCGCGCAGGTTGATGATGTTGTCCCATTCGTTGTCGCGGAGGAAGGCGGCCCCCGTGAAGGGAGCGATGTAGGGGACCTCGGCGGAGCGCGCGATGGGAGTGGCAGAGCGCGAGGTCGGTGTGCCTACCGCACCGATGAGCGCGAACACCTGCTGTTGCTCGATGAGGTTGCGGGTCATCACGATGGCGTCTTCCGGCTCGTACGCGTCGTCGAGGGATTGCACTCGAGGAGCGCCCGTGGACCCTCCGCGCTCGTTGGCCTCGTCGAACGCAGCCAGGATTCCGAGCCGCATGTTTATGCCGAGCTCCTTGGCGGGACCGCTGAATGCGGCGGACTGGCCGAACAGGATCCGGTCCTCCGATATGCCGATGAAAGTGTCCTGAGAGCCCTCAAGCGGATCGGTCACTCCCGGGGCGTCGGGACCCTGCCCCTCTCCGGAGACGTCGTCGGATGCGCAGCCTGCCAGTATCAATGAGGCGGTGAGGGCCAGCAGGGTGCCCGCCGTCCGGAGCCGATGCGGCGCGCGACTCCGATTCATCTCACCTTGCGGGTGACGATCTTCAGACAGTTCCTTCCCGACTCCCTGCTGTACTCGACGTCGTCCATCAGGGTGAGTGTGAAGTGAACACCCAAGCCGCCGATGGGCCGGTCCTCGATCGGCGACGTCAAGTCCGGGGCGGGTGCTTCCGTCAGAGGGTCGAACGGCTGTCCCTCATCGACGATCTCGATGACGACGGTCTCGCGACGTAACCGCTACCTCCACGTCCCCGTGGCGCGCACTGTATGCATAGTCCACGACATTCTGTGCCAGTTCGTCGACCACGAGCTGACTCGAAAGGTCAGGTCGCCTTGACCAACCGTCCTGTTCGCCCAGTATTTCGATGCGGCCACGAGCTCAGCCAGTTCTTCATAGCTGTGCGTCGCACTTCGCCGTTGTGTCGCCTTCAAGACATCACCACGACACTCAGCTCTCTCGACGCAGGACCAGACAGGTCGTGTCATCGAACTGGGGCACGTCGCCGCGAATCGTTCACAAGCTCGATGACCCGCTTGCCGGCGTCTCGGCACTCGACGGTGTCAGTTCGAAGGTCTCGCACAATCGACGCAGTCCGAGTTGTTCCTCCTCGCTGTTTATCGCTTCGGTAACACCCGTCGGTGTTCAGGATGACAGTATCGCCCGCGAGACAGCCGGTAGGAGTCCTTGGAGGAAGTCGAATCCGGGGCAGCACACCAAGGGCGAGCCCGTCGGTCACGGGCAGTCGCGTGGTGCTGCCGTCCGCGCTGCACGACGAGCGGGAGGATCGGACCCCCGTCCGCGTAGGTCAGCACGCCGGTGGCGGGGGTCGTACACGGCGTGTAGATCATGGTGACGAACATACAGGCGTCGTTATCCTCGTTGAGGACGTCGTTCACCTCGGTGAGTGCCTCGCGGGTCCGTCGGCCCGCAGAGCCGCGCCCTTCAGCAGCGTGCGGCTCGACATCATGAACAGTGCTGCCGGCACGCCCTTGCCAGAGACGTCCGCGATGCCAGTCCTACGTTTGCCGTCGGAAAGCCGATCACGTCAAAGAAGTCGCCGCCGACATTGCGAGCGGGCTGCATGGTGCCGAAGAGTTCGTAGTCGTCGCTGCGGGCGAACTTGTTCGGGAGAATGGACTGCTGCATCATGCTTGCCACGTTCAGTTCATTCTGCAGCACGACGAGTTTGTCTCGAGCGCTCAGCGCATCCTTCCATTCACGTATGTGCTGCAGGGTCCGATCGATCGTGAACTTGAGATCGTCGAAATCGACCGGCTTGGTGACAAAGTCGAAAGCTCCCCGATTCATGGCGATTCTGATGTTCTTCATGTCACCATAAGCGGAGATGATCACCGCGCGAATATCCGGCGCTACATCCGGTATCTTCTCAAGAAGAGTCAGGCCATCCATTTTCGGCATGTTGATATCCGAGAGCACCATAGTCTATGGACTGGTCCATATCAAGGGCCTCAAGTGCTTCGACCCCGTCCCTGGCGAAGACAAACTCGTAGACTCCGGTCCTTATGAATCGCCGCATCCGTTGCAGCATGAGCGGTTCAAGATCTGGCTCATCGTCGACCACAAGAATCTTGTGCTTATGCCGAGACTCGGTCATTGTCATTAGAGTCCTCTCTTGCGAAATGAAGTGGTCACTTATGCACCGACTGCTGAAAGCGCCTCGGCTTGTGATTTGTGGATCGGTATTATCTTGTCAAATCCGCTGATCTTGAAGACTTCACGAATTGAATCGTTCATTGAACAAAGAACGAACCTCATGCCGGACTTCTGGAGGTTCTTTGCTGCGAGAAGGATGACTCGCATGCCGGCGCTGCTGACATACGAGACATCCTCGAAGTCAAGCACTAGAGCCGCGTCAGATTCCGCGATGACAGCTTCCAAGTCAGAGTGAAACTCTCGAGAGTTGGAACTATCGATGCGGCCATCGGCCTTCGCAATGACGGTTCCGTTCGCTCGCTCTGCGTTGATCCCCATCGTCATGCTCCTGAGTGCAAGATCGTGTGCCGTCGAAATAACTCTAGCGGGCTATGCGCACCTACGCTCAGGCCCGGGCACTGGGTCCGTAGGTCAGATGCATCAGGTCGCCGTCGGCGAACCGGCTAGGTCGTAGTGGCCGCGTGTCCAGCAGCGGAGCGCTGCCAATCTGTTCGGTGGCCGAGGACATGAGACGCGGCGATCTCGCCGACCGAGGGCGACAGCTTGAGCCCGTGACCGGAGAATCCGACGGCCAGGTACAGGCCGGTCACGTCTGCGATCTCGTTGGCCCAGCCCAGGATCGGGTGATAGTCCGGGGTGATGTCGTAAGCCCCGCTGGTCGTGGACACCGTCTTGGCGATGGCCATGGCCGGTAGGCGCTCGGCCACGGCCCGGCGGATGCGCGCCGAGTGGTCTCGTGGTCGACGGGTCCGGCGTCGGCCAGGGGATCGTCCACCTCGGGCATCTCCGGCGGATAGGCCACCGCGAGGACGCGACGCCCCATGTCGGGACGGATGACCAGGTTGGAGTTGCCGTCAGTGATGAAGGTATGCAGTCCACGGGCACCCGGCTCCTGCTCGAGCATGGCCATGTCCAGCCTCCGACGCTCGATGGGCACGTGCACACCCAGCGGGTCGAGCAGATCGCGCGCCCATGCCCCGGTGGCCACCACCACCAGCGGCGCCGCGATCACTCCCCGGGCGGTGGCCACGCCCGTCACTGCGCCGCTGGACACCAGTATTTCCTCCACCTCGAGGGGGGCGAGCACCTCCGCGCCCGCAGCGGTCGCGGCGCCCAGCCAGCTCAGCACCATCTTGGTGACGTCGATGTAGCCTCCGTCGGGCTCGTAGGCACCGCCCGCAAGCCTCTCCGCGTTCACCAGCGGCTCGACCGCGGCGATCTCGTCGGGGCCCACGAAACGGGTGTCCACACCCAGGCGCCTCCCGAGCTCGACGTTGCGCCGCAAGCCGTCGATCTGGTTCTCGGTGACGATCAGCATGTAGCCGAGCCGGATGTAGCCGGGATCGCCGTAACCAACCTCGGTCGCCCAGTTGCGGATGCAGTGGAAGCCTCGCAGCGCCATGCGCACCATGAGCTCGTTTGGAGTAGTGCTGGCGGATCTGGCCGAACGTCCGACCCGAGATGCCCCCGACGGGGGGCCGAGCGTCCACCACCGCCACTCGCCGGTCCGACTGCCGGGCGAGCTGGTAGCCGATGCTGGCCCCCGACACCCCGGCGCCGATCACGACGATGTCGACTTCGGCTGGCAGCGTTCGCATGGTCGCGGATAGTACGGCATCAGGCGCTGGGCGGATTTTCACGGCCGTTGCGGTCGGTCTTCACGGCCCGGCGTCGCGTGCGCCGTCGAGCGGCCTTCACGGCCCGCGTCGGTGGGAGCGGAGAACCCGCTCGTGTAGCCGTGGGCTCCTCTCGGGCCGAGCAACACGAGCTCGACAGCCGCTTGGAACGCGATGCTGGAGTCGTAGTCGGGGGCCATGGGCTCGTAGTCGGGGTCGCCCGTGTTCTGCTGATCGACGAGGTTGGCCATCCGGCGCATCGTCTCGCGCGCCTGATCGGCGGAGATGAGCCCGTGGTGCAGCCAGTTGGCGACGTGCTGGCTGGAGATGCGCAGGGTGGCCAGATCCTCCATGAGGCCGATGTCGTCGATGTCGGGCACGATGGAGCACCCCACTCCCAGGCCCACCCAGCGGACCAAGTATCCGAGGATGCCCTGCACGTTGTTGTCCAGCTCGCGCTGGATCTCGCTCGGGCCGAGCTCCCGACCCACCGGAAGCACGGGAATGTCGATGAGGCTGGCGAGGCGGCCCGGCGTGCGGTCGGCCAAGTCCTGCTGGCGGTCGGCCACATCCACCAGGAAGTAGTGCGTGGCGTGCAGCGTGGCCGCGGTCGGCGAGGGCACCCAGGCGGTGCTGGCTCCCGCGATCGGATGCTGGATCTTGGCCTTGACCATGGCCGCCATCTCGCCGGGCATGGTCCACATGCCCTTGCCGATCTGGGCACAGCCCCGCAGCCCGCAAGCCAGGCCGGTGTCGACGTTGGAGTTCTCGTACGCACCGAGCCAGGCCGCGGCCCTCATCTCGCTCTTCGGGATCACCGGGCCGGCCTCCATGTCGGTGTGGATCTCGTCGCCGGTGCGGTCCAGGAAGCCGGTGTTGATGAACACCACCCGGTCCCGGGCCCGAGCGATGCACTCCTTGAGCCCGAGCGATGTGCGGCGCTCCTCGTCCATGATCCCCATCTTGAGGGTGCGCTGCACCAGGCCGAGGGCCTCCTCCACCCGGCTGAACAGCTCGCAGCCCAGGGCGACCTCGTCGGGGCCGTGCATCTTGGGCTTGACGATGTAGACCGAACCGGTCGCCGAGTTGCGGATGGGCCTGCCGCCCGCCCGTCCCATCCCCCGCAGATCGTGGAGCGCGCACAGCGCGGTCACCATGGCGTCGACCATGGTCTCATGGACCGGTTCGCCGCCGAGCGTCACCATGTCGGTGGTGAGATGGGGCCCCACATTGCGGACCAGCATCAACGAGCGGCCCGGCAGCGTGATCTGCGCTCCGTCCGGCGCGGTGAAGCTGCGATCGCCGCGCAACGACCGGTTCACGGTCGTGCCGTTGCGAACGAACGTGGTCTCCAGCGTGCCCCGCATCAGGCCCAGCCAGTTCCGGTAGACCGACACCTTGTCGTCGGTGTCCACCGCCGACACGGAGTCCTCGAAGTCCATGATCGCGGTGATGGCGGACTCGAGGCGGATGTCGGCGATGCCGGCGTGATCCCCGCGTCCCACGGGATGGTCGCCGTCGATGCACACCTCGCAGTGCAGGCCGTTCTTGCGCAGCAGGATCGAAGTGGGCGAGTCCGCGGCGCCGGCGTAGCCGACGAACTGCTCGGGACGCAGCAGCGCGCTCACGGTGCCGTCCCCGCTGCGCACCCTCAGCGCTCCGTCCTCCGTGAAATAGCCGGTCGCCCACCCGTGGCTCGCAGAGTCGAGCGTGAAGTGCGTGTCGAGGAACTCGCGCCCCGCGGCCACCACCCGGTCACCCCTGACCGGTTGTAGGCGGCGCCGCGGCTGCAGCCGTCGGCCTCGCTGATCGCGTCGGTCCCGTAGAGAGCGTCGTACAGGCTCCCCCAGCGGGCGTTGGCCGCGTTGAGCGCATAGCGGGGATTGTCGACGGGGACCACCAGCTGCGGCCCGGCCACCTCTGCGATCTCGGGATCGACATTGGCGGTCGTGGCGGTGACCGCGCCGTCCACGTAGCGCAGGTACCCGATGTCGCGCAGGAAGTTGGCGTAGGCGTCACCGTCGTGGCCCCGTCCGTCGGCGCGCGCCGCTCGATGCCAGTCGTCGATCTGGGCCTGCAGCTCGTCGCGGCGGGCCATCAGAGCGGCGTTGCGGGGCCCGAGGTCGGCCAGGATGGACTCGAGAGCGCCCCAGAACTCGTCGATGTGCACGCCGGTTCCCGGCAGGGCCTCGACCGCGATGAATTCGTATAGGGGCGAAGCGATCTCAAGCGAACCGGCACGCATGCGCCCTAGCCAACCACGCCTCGCCCCACCGAGCTAATTCCGACTGCGGGCCACCGACTCGCGGTCATATCCGGCGACGCGCTTGTAGCTGTCGGACAGCTCGGCCATCTCGGTGGCGTGATCACATCGGTGATCTGTTCGAAGGGCCGGTCACCGGTGCGCTCGTGGACCGCCTTGAGGATCACGTCGGGGGGCGCGGACCGGCTGGCGTGCACTACCGCAGCCGTGGCCGCGAGCCGCTGGCTCTCGTAGGCCTGCAGCGCCGCGGGAAATGACTCCATCGACTGCAGGCAGTCAGCCAGGGCGCGGGCGTCGAGGATGGCCTGCCCTGCGCCGTTGGAGCCTCGCGGATACATGGGATGGGCGGCGTCGCCCAGCAGAGTCACCCGGCCGTGGGTCCACCGGGGCAGCGGATCTCGGTCCACCATCGGGTACTCGAGGATCTGCTCCGCGCCCCGGATGAGCCCGGCGACGTCGAGCCAGTCGAAGGTCCAGGCGGCGAAGATGCCGTAGAAGTCCTCGAGGCGGCCGGTGCGGTTCCAGTCCTGCTCGCTGTAGGAGTCGGTCTGCACCTCCGCCACCCAGTTGACGAGCTGGCGGCCCTGCCCGTCGACGTTGTGGCGGATCGGGTAGATCACCATCTTGCCGACCGTCAGCCAGCCCGCCCGCAAGTAAGTGGAGCCGCTGAGGAACGGCTCCCACACCGTGGTGCCCCGCCACATGTTCACGCCCGAGTAGACGGGCGGGCCCTCATCGGGAAAGAACTGCTGTCGCACCACCGAATGGATCCCGTCGCAGCCGATCACCGCCGCCCCCCGCGCCGGCGGCAGCGCTCGGCCGGTGCTGGAGTCGACGAAGTGGGCCACCGCGCCTCGGGCGTCGGAGTCAACTCCGGTGCAGCGGTGCCCGGGCAGCACCCGCCCGGCGCCGTCGGCCACCCGGTCGAGGTAGGCCACTGGAGCACCTGCTGCAGGTCGCCCCGGTGGATCTGGAACTGGGGCCACTCGTAACCGGCGTGGCGGCCGACCGGCTCGGAGTACACGAACTGGCCGAACCGGTTGAAGAAGCACGACTCCCTGGTGGTCACGGCCACGTCGCTCAGAGCGTCGGTGAGCCCCAGCAGGCCGAGCTCCTTGCTGGCGTGGGGCAGAAGGCTGATCCCCACCCCGATGGGCTTGATCTCAGGCGCCGCCTCGTAGACGCGGGCGCCGATGCCCCGCTCGTGCAGCATCAGGGCCAGCGTGAGGCCCGCCGATGCCGCCCCCGACGATGATCACATCATCCATGGCGGCCGGCGTTTACTGATGACGGGGTGGTTGCCCCGTCAGGCCGAGTCGGCCAGATAGGACTCCAGCGAGTCGTCGAGCGCGTCCTCCCACCGGGTGTGGTGGATCGGCGCCACCGTGCCCGTCAGCGGCGAGGTGTGCCCGTGGTCGCGGTAGTCGATGATCGACTGCTTCTTGTGCTTCTTCCAGTCATGGAACATCTTGTTGACCAGCGGCGTGTTGAAGTCGGGATAGTCGGTCTGGTCCACCAGGTCCTGGGTGTAGGCGCCCTGGAAGTCGATGGCCCCGTAGTCGTCCTCCAGAGCGTCCTCCGCGGCCTGGAAATCGCTGATCCAGCGGGCCTGCTCCGCCGCGTCGGGAAGCTCGATGCGTCCCAGGATCACGTCGCGGGCGTACCAGGCCTGGGCGTCGAACATGTTGAACGTGTACCACTGGTCCTGCATCCCCAGGTACAGGATCCGGTTCTCGGGCTGGAACACCACGCCCCGGTACAGCATCGAGGTGGCCAGGCGGTTGGCGGTCACCAGCCGCAGCTCGTCGTCCATGAACGGGAAGTGGTGCAGGTACCCGGTGCAGGAGATGATGGCGTCCACATCGGCGGTCGAGCCGTCGGTGAAGTGCACCGTCCGGCCGTCGACATGGGTCAGGATGGGTGTCTCGGTGATCCCTTCGGGCCAGTCGAAGCCCATGGGTCCGCTGCGCGACGTGCACACCACCGAGCGGGCTCCGTACTTCCAGCACTGCGAGGCGATGTCCTCGGCCGAGTAGCTGGATCCGATCACGAGCACGTCCCGGTCGGCGAACTGCACCGCGTCGCGGAAGTCGTGGGCGTGCATCAGCGTGCCGCCGAAGGTCTCGTAGCCCGGGTAGTGGGGCATGTTGGGCGTGGAGAAGTGCCCGAGGCTACGACCACGTGGTCGAAGTCCTCGCTGGTGTCGGCGTCGTTGGCCAGGTCGTGGGCGGTGACCGTGAAGCCGCTGCCGTCGGCGGAGCGGCTGATGCGGCGCACCGAATGGTTGAAGCGGATCTGGTCGCGGAAGCCGCTGCGGTTGGCCCGGCCCAGGATGTAGTCGTAGAGGACCTCGCGGGGCGGGAACGACGCCACCGGCTTGCCGAAGTGCTCCTCGAATCCGTAGTCGGCGAACTCCAGGCACTCCTTGGGTCCGTTCGACCACAAGTAGCGGTACATGCTGGCGTGGCAGGGCTCGCCGTTCTCGTCGAGCCCGGTGCGCCAGCTGTAGTTCCAGAGCCCGCCCCAGTCGTCCTGCTTCTCGTAGCAGACAATTTCGGGGCGGACGGGCTGCCCGCCTCCGAGTCGCTGGCGAAGGCGTGCAGCTGTGCCATTCCGCACGGTCCGGCGCCGATGACAGCTACCCGTGTCATGACCGAATCCCCCCTGTGGTTAGGTGTATCTGTATCGAGAGTAAAACCTAGCACGACCTCATGTCAACGCGCGGGGCGAAACTAGCCGCTAGTCGAGCACTTCGTCGAGAGCAGCCAAGACCAGCGTCACGTTGCGGAGTCGGGCGGTGTGGCCCATGCAGCCGATGCGCCAGCACTTGCCGGCCAGGCGCCCAGTCCGCCGCCGATCTCGATGCCGTAGTGGTCGAGCAGCGTCCGCCGGACGTCGGCCTCGCCGGTGGCCGCCGGGAGCCGGGACTGGGGCACTCGCACAGAAGTGAGTTGGGGAAGGCGGGCACAGGCAGGGGCCACCAGCTCGAAGCCCCGGGCCTCGAGCCCGTCCTGGAGCAGGTCGCCGCACCTCTGGTGCCGGTCGTGGGCGGCCTCGAGTCCTTCATCGAGCACCACGCCGAGCCCGGCATGCAGGGAGTAGATCATCGAGATCGGAGCGGTGTGATGGTAGGCCCGGGCGCCGCCTCCGGTGACGTAGTCGGCGATCATGCCCATGTCGAAGTACCAGGACCGGGGCCGGCGGTGCATCCGCTCCACAGCGCGGGGTGAGACGCTGATGGGGGCCAGTCCGGGCGGAACCCCGAGGCACTTCTGGGTTCCGCTGTAGGCGATGTCCACGCCCCATTCGTCGATGCGCACATCGATGCCGCCGAGTGACGTGACGCAGTCGGCGAGCAGGAGGGCATCGCCCTTGGCTGCGCCCAGCTCGGCCAGGTCAGTTGCGCACGCCGGTAGAGGTTTCGCGTGGACGACGGCGATCACCGCCGGAGCCGGGTGGGCATCCAGGACGCGCTGAGGATCCAGAGGCGATCCCCACTCGGCGTCCACTCGCACGACCCGCGCACCGCACCGGGCCGCCACGTCGCACATGCGCTCGCCGAACACGCCGTTGACTCCCACCACGACGGTGTCGCCCTCGGAGACCACGTTCACGAACGCCGCCTCCATGCCGGCCGAGCCCGTTCCCGAGACGGGGAACGTGAGGGCGTGTTGGCGGTGCGGGAAGACGGATCGCAGACGTTAGCAGGTCTCGTCGAGCAGGTCGAGTGAATAGTCGTCGTCGAGGTGGCCCAGGTCATCACGTGCCGGGGGAATGCCTCGATGGCCTCGGGTGGTAGGGTTGGACGGGCCTGGGGCACCATGAGGACTCGCTCGTTGTGTGCATCCTGCGCTGGAGCTCGCACCATTCTGATTAGTGGTATTGCTTCCATCAGATAGTGATATGGGCCTGTCTGAAATCGCAGTAGTCGTTGCTGTGGATTGGTCAGGTTCGCATACTCAGCCATCAATTCCGAACACCGTCGAACGAAAGCCCGGAGGACCCCGATGAGCCACCATCAAATCGCGTCGAGGCTAGAGCCGGCTGCACCGTAGCGAGCTGGCCGTGCCCGGCTCGCGCGGCCCGAGCTGCTGTGCGCAGAAGGCGGCAGCCAGCCGAGCCGACGATTGTTGGTCCTGGTGTACATTGAGGACGCGGTTTGGTGGCGCGCCCTTTTCAGCGACACGAGAAGGATTAGCCGCGCGCCGCAACGTCATCGAGGCTCTCGGTTCGACATCGATTGGCGCCGCAAGACGGTGTCACGGTGCCTGCGTTCCTCCGGATCAACGTGGCTTGACACCACACTTAATGTACCGCGACCTGATCGACGTGGTCGAGCAGGCGGGGGCGCACCTCGACACGATCCTCATCCCCAAAGTGGGCGTGCCCGGTGACGTCTACACGGTAGACGCCCTCCTCACCCAGCTCGAGCAGGCACTGGGCTTGAGTCCACCGGATCGGTGTGGAGGCTCTGGTGGAGACCGCTCTGGGGATGGCCAATGTCGAGGCGGTGGCGGCGTCGAGCCCGCGGCTGGAGGCGCTGCACTTCGGGGTGGCGGACTACGCGGCGTCGTGCCGGGCCCGGACGATCACCATCGGCGGGCTCAATCCCGACTATCCGGGCGACCAGTGGCACTCGGCGCTGTCCCGCATGCTGGTGGCCTGCCGCGCCAATGGGCGAAGGCCATCGATGGCCCGTTCGGGGACTTCGGCGATCCCGAGGGATTCACCGCGGGGGCCCGTCGGGCCGCGGCTCTCGGCTACGACGGCAAGTGGGCTATCCACCCCGCACAGATCGATCTGGCCAACGAGGTGTTCACACCACCGGAGTCCGAGGTGGACCAGGCCCGCCGGGTGCTGCGGGCACTGGAGGAGGCGGCCGCGGCCGGGCGGGGCGCGGCTCAGCTCGACGGGCGCATGATCGACGCCGCGTCGGCGCGCATGGCTCGAAACGTGTGTCGAGACGGCCAACACCATCGCGGCAGGCTGAGGGCGGCGGGAGGGCGCTGGCGGGGTTTCAGCAGAGAGTCATTGAGCCGGACCGCACGAGCGGTGCCGGTGCGAGGACGCAGGGAGGGGCGTTCATGGAGATCCACGAGTACCAGGCCAAGGCGATACTCGCCGACTACGGCGTGGCCATACCCGAAGGCGGGCTGGCCTACAGCCCCGAGCAGGCCACCTACCGAGCCTCCGAGATCGGCGGCGAGCGGTGGGTGGTGAAGGCCCAGGTCCACTGCGGCGATCGGGGCCAGGCCGGCGGCATCAAGATCTGCAGCCACGAGCGCGAGATCTGGGAGGCGGCCGACGAGTTGCTGGGCAAGCGCTTGGTGACGCCCCAGACCGGCGAGCAGGGAAAGGGCGTGTACCGGCTGTACGTGGAGGCCCCGTCCTCCAGCGAACGCGAGCTCTACCTCGGGTTCGTGCTCGACCGCGCCGCGGAGCGGGTGATGGTCGTGGCACTCAGCCGCAGGGGGATGGAATCGAAGATGATTCGCGACCCGGCGATCGACGTCTCATCGTGCGGTGTGAACGTGGAGCAGCTGTCGGAGCTCCAAGCTGTCAGAGGCCCGGGAGAGATCGCCTTCGCGGGTGCGGTCTCGGACGCCATCAGCTTGGTCTAGCACAGGCGGTCCAGGCGGTGGTGATGAGCTGGCCTGCTACCGAGCTTTCTCGCACTTGGACGCACATGCTGGAGATCACACCACCTGGCGTGACCGCCGATCGGCGCCTGGTGGCGGCTGGACGCCAAAGATGATCTTCGACGCACAACTGGCTCTGTTCCGCCAGCAGGACGTGTCGGAGCTGCGGGACAAGTCCGAGAGACCCACTGCGTAGCGGGCAGCTGCCACAGACCGCGCTCAGCCTTATGCTGGGCTCGACGGACAAAATCGGCTGCATCATCAACGGCGCCGGCCTGGCCTGGCCACGAGGACATGATTTCAAACACGCCGGCGGTGAGCCCGCCAACTTCCTCGACATCGGCGGTGGGGCCTCGAGCGCGTTCTCAAGTGCGATCCGGCTGGTGCTCTCCGACCACCACACGTCGCAGCCGTGCTGGTGAACACTCTCGCCGGCTCAACACCGCTGCGGATCTGGTGTGGCTTGAGGGCGTGGTCAGCCGCTCTGCGACAGCTCGACTCGATCCGACGGTGCCTGGTGGTGGTCAGGCTGTCGGGCACCAACGTCGAGGAGGGGAGTGCGCATCTGGCGAGGCCGATGTGCCTGTGGTCACCGCCGATTCCCTGCGAGGCGGGCACGAGGGCGGTTGAGTCCCTGACTTGCGAGTGCAGCCGACTGCGCCCCGACCGCGCTCGCCGACCTTGGCTGGCGCTGACCCCTCGAAGGAGGCACTGCCGATGAGCAGCATCCTCGATGAGACCACGCCGGGGCTGTGCAAGGCATCACCGGCCGCATAGCCCTTCCACAACCGCCGAGATGCTGGATTACGGCACCAACGTGGTGGGAGGGCGTCACGCCGGGCCGCGGTTGCGTCACCCACTGCGGCGTCGAGGTGTTCGACACCATGAAGCAGGCCGTGGCCGCCACCGAGGCACCGCCAGCATCGTGTTCGTGCCGCCGCCGTTCGCGGGCCGACGCCATCATTGAGGCGGCCGACGCCGGGATCGAATTACTTCTCTTGTGCATCACCGAGGGCATCCCGGTCCAGACATGATCAACGTGAAGCGCTACCAGCGCCGCTACCAGCACGCCAGCCGGATGTGCCTGATCGGCCCGAACTGCGCCGGCGTCATCAGCCCGGGCCGGGCCATGATGGGCATCATGCCCCCGCACATCTATGAGCGGGGCCCGGTCGGCATCGTCAGCCGGTCGGGAACGCTCGGTACGAGGCGGCGTCGCAGCTCAAAGGCGTCGGAATCGGGGTCAGCACCAGCGTCGGAATGTCGGAGACCCGATAACGGCAGCTCGTTCCTCGACCACCTCAAGCGCTTCGCAGCCGACGCGAGACCGAGGCGATCGTGATGATCGGAGAGATCGCGGTGCTGCAGGAGGACGCAGGCGGACCCAGTGTGACGCCGACGACCGTGCACAAGCCGTGGTTGGCTACATCGCCGGTCTAACAGGTCGCACGATGGCCATGCCGGCAAATCCCATCGTCTCCACCGTCGGCGATAGTCGGCAATTCGCCGAGAAGGTGCAGCTCATGCGGGAGTGCGTGGCGGCGTGTACCATCGTGCAGCTGCCGTCCGACCTTCGGCACCATCGTGTGCCCAAGGTTCTCCGCCGCTGACTCAGTGCATGCGCGGCGCTCGCGTGCGTGCAGCTTTCGTCTTTGCAGCTGAAACCGGTTAGCGCAGAGGGTTTCCGCTGCAGTTCAGGAGGGGCCGGGCGCCCTCCTCGTCCGGGTCGTAGAACGCGGTAGCGCACACACCTCGGCCGCTATGCGCTCCTATCGTGGCCGTCGAGCTTTCCCACTCCCGCGGCGTGTGCCAGACCTCGGCGTAACTCACCGCCCATGCGGCACAGCGCGATGTGTTCTTGCGCAGGATGAAATCGTGGCGCTCGTGATCACCCCCACCTGGTTGCGCCGGCGTACACCCGTCCCAGTGGCTGCGGGATCGCCTCCGACCAGCTCGAGCCCGACCAGCCGGCCTGCGGGTTGTCGCGGCGCTTATCGAGCGCTCCTTTGACTATGAAGTCGTCGGTCTTGGTCTTGAGCGGCACCGTGAACCGATCCGCCTCGTAGGGGTCGGTCTGGTCGCAGAACTAGTGGTCGGCGAAGATCAGCCGCGCTCGATGCGCATGTCAGCGAGCGCGGCAGGCCCATCGGCACCAGGCCACTGGAGGCCCCGGCCTCGAAGACGGCGTCCCACACCGCCGGAGCGTCGGAGGGGTGGCAGAACACCTCGTAGCCGAGTTCGCCGGTGTAGCCGGTGCGCGACACCACAGCGGATGCCGTCGTGGTCGCCGACGTCCGGGCGATGGTGAACCGGAACCAACCCAGTTCCTCCATGGTCGGCTGGTCGGGTCGGGTCCACACGACCTGCTCGAGGATGGACTGCGGCTGTTGGGTCCCCTGGACCTGCAGGTTGTGGAGCTGCCGGTGGAGCTCGCACCCAGCTCGCATCCCAGTCCGCTCGCACTGCTCCCGCAGCCAGACGCCGCTGTTAGCCGAGATGCCCGCGATCCAGCGGAAGTTCTCACGCGCCCGAGCCGAAGCGGTGCCGTCGCGATCATGCCGCGTGGGGTTGGCACAGGCCGTTACACACCTGCCGTCGGCGAGCTGCGGATGTTGCGGTGTGACGCAGGTCTGCATCAGCAGCTCGGCGTCGGGCCGGGTCACCTCGTACTTGCGCAGCGGCGAGAGATCAATGGCCGCCGCGGCTGCCGGCAGGCCCAGTACTCCTCGATGGGGCCGTGGCCGTGTAGGAGTCCGCCAGCAGTAGCCGCAGTACTCGCTGAAGCTCGCGGTCAACCGACGTGCGGGGATGGAACCGGTCTCCTTGGTGAGCTGTGCCTCGGAGTCTGCGGTCATCGGACGCCGTCGCTTTCTGAACCGGTGGCGGCCGGACAGACCCGCACCGCGATGTCGGTGGGGTCCAGCGTTGGCCGCGTCGATGTCGTCGGGGCATCGGTGCTGACACCACACCAGAGTCCTCCAGCCCGCAGCAGCACGTATCGCCGGGACGGACCACGGCTCGTCGCAGGTAGTAGATCTGGTTGCACGTCGCTGACCGGGGTTGTAGAAGAAGTTGATCGCCTCCCAGCCCCGCGGCGCAACACCGTAGGGGTCGAGCGCCCGTTGATGTTGTCGGTGCAGTTGACGTGACCCGGGGATAGCCCATCTCCTCGTAGTAGACGGGCGTTGCAGGCGGTGTTGACGTGTGTCGTGGCGCCCACGGTGTGTCCTGGATCACCTCGACGAGGGCTGCATCTTGGCGTTGAAGAACTTCGAGTACAGGCCGGCGCGGGGCAGCTCGCCCCATGAGGGTGGGTGATGGTGTGCGTCCAGGCACCGCTCGTCGCCTGCGTCGAGGTCCGCCACCGCGAGCACTGGAATGTCGAGCACTGCCGGCACCTCCATTTCGAGACCACCGGAACAACCATCGCTCCTTGGCCCCTCGATTAGGCGCGCCGCTGTGCTGCGCTTCACGACGAAGTCCTGGCTGGGGTCGGCCAGCGGCGCCGGGAGCAGGGTTCAGCCTCGGCGCGGGCCGGCGCGGCGGTGAACGTAGGCAATCAGTCGGTGGGGGGGTGGCCGCCGTGGGTCGGCATGGCCTCGCCCGGTGCGGCCACCACGCAGGCGACATCGGCATGGGCGACCACCCGGGCCCGTGTGCCCGCAGTGGTGTCGGCGTCGCAGTGGAGGAGCCTCAGCCGGCGTCGCGGCGCCGAACCGCGGCCAGTCGATGCCCGACGCGATCGAGTCCCGGCCGCGTGCTAAACCACTACTAACGGGTGTCGACGGCGTCCTGCAGATCGGCGGAGAGGATGTCCCCACCGCGCCGGCTCCTGTGGAGGCGGCCGCCTGCAACCCGCCCACACACACCGTTGCCGCGGTCGTGGCCGACGAAGATCGAGCAGGCTGGGTCGGACCCTCCGCCGTGCCGATAGCGATCAGCTCGCACAGCACTGGCGGCCCTCTGTCGACGATCTCCAGTCGTCACCGGCATCGTCAGCGACAGAACGGTGGCGCCGACGCGCGAACCCGCCGGTAGCGCTCACCCCCGCTCGAGCAGCAACGCACACGGCACGAGCACCGTGGCTGCTCAGGAGCGTATCGTTCGTCATATAGTCGCCTCCACGAGGTGCTGGGCTTCCGGTCAGTCTTCGCTGCGCCCGCTCAGGCACGCAAGCGACGTCACTGGGTTCTGCTGGTGGCCTGAGCGGCACGCGAGCGAGCGGCGTCATCGCTTCCGTTGCCCAGAGGGTCCCGACAGTCCCCGCCCGCCGGTTGTCGTCGCCGCCGGTGCCGTCGCCTGGGCGGAGACTGCCGGCGACATCTCCAGATCAGCAGGACGACGGCCACGAGGAGGCCGCGGCTGCGATCCAGAGCCTGAAGCCGGATCGCATCGTCGCCGCCGGCGAGACTGATATATCTCCCGAACCGTGATGGCGCCTGCGAACCGGAACCGATCCAGCCGTCGCCAACCAACCTGGATGAGTCCGATGGTGATCAGCTCACAACCAGACCCACTGGCCCCATTGACGCCGGTGCCAGCACCGACTCCGTCCCGTCTTTCGCTGACGGTCGTCTGCACGGCAGGAACATCGCCACGGCTGCGACGGCCCCGCCACCCCTGGGCGATCCGCTTACGTGGATCCTCACAGCGCCAGGCTAGAGGCCGAGCGACGGTGCAGTCTACGAGGACTTCGTGAGGGCTTCACGCACGCGCTCATCTATCCATGTGCTTGGGGAAGACCTCAGCAGGGTCGGCGCGCGCGCTCCTTGCGAGCGGCGCCACCGATTGAATGGTGTGAGTTTGTCGTCAGAAGCCTGGATGGCGATGATCGTGAAGACGATGCAGCCAGGCAGAGATGACTGTCGCCATCTCGATGCCCTTGTCGTGGCCCTGCTTTCCTTGGAACTCGATTTGCTTGCGACGAGCCATGTCAGTCCTCCGAGCTGTACTTGTCGGCGAGCCGGTCGGCGCGTGGTTGACAAGCTTGTCTCGCGGGTCACCATAGATCGCCGCGATCACGGAGACCGCGATCCCGAGATGGCGAGACGTACGAGGCGGTGTTGCCGCCGCGGACCCCAGGTGAAGTACCCGGTGGTGCCGTCGGCAGCCTCGAGGGCGGCTTCCCAACTCTCGTAGGGGAAGGTGTTCATTCAGTCCTCCTTAGTCCTGAACGTAAAATTCAGTGGTGTGTCGTTGTCTTGCGCCCCCTGCCGGGCTCTCTTGCGCTTGCCCCAGTACCCGGCGGTCGCGACCACCAGGTACATGATGGCGATGGCACCGATGAGCTGCAGCCATGAGGCGGACACCCGACTAACGGTTGGCGGCTAAGGCCGCCCTCAGCGTGGCCTCGGCGGCCGCCTCCGATCCGTCGGCGTGGATAATGGGCTCGTCGGCCCGCCGAACTCCGGATAGAAGTCCGTCTCGAACTCGGCCATGTCGAGGCCCTCGATCTCCACCTCGGCGGGACCTCAGCAGGTTCATCCTCTTGAGGATCCAGGAGGCGATGTAGCCAGTGAAGAACGACAACGCGATTATCGCTGCCGCGCCCACAGCCTGGCCGAGGATCGTGGTCTCGACACCAGCGGGCCCTGTCGGGTAGCCACTGGCGAAGATGCCCACGGCCATCACGCCCCAGAAGCCCATCACGCCGTGCACCGCCACCGCGCCGACCGCATCGTCGATGCGGGCCTTGCGCTCGATCCAGCCGCCGACGTGGTAGGCGGCTCCGCCGAGAAGAGGCTAGAGCAGCACCAGGTTTGGGGCTGTAGATGTCGCGCCCGCGATACAGCCACCACCCGGCCAGACCTCCGAGATGGTCAGAACGGATCACCCCTTGAGAAGATGTACCGCCGGCGAACCGCCCGCAAGCCCATCGTGATGGTGTAGGTGATAGCCGACAGCGTGGCCGGGTTGAAGTGATTTGGCCCAGCCCGGAGTGGTGTCGGCGTGATACGCGAGGCACAGCCGCTGTGATGCGTAGAACGCCGTGAAGATGATCATCACGGCCCAGCAGCGTGAGAGATGGAGGTGTGGGGCTTGAAGCCCGTACCCCTCCGTCGCTGTCGCTACCTGCCGATCCTCGGGCCCAGTTGAAGAGCACACCTAGAGCGAAGATGCGAACGCCGTGGACCACACCCGATGCGGCGAAGTCGTGGTAGCCGAAGTGGCACCGTCAGCCAGAACTCCGTATGCTCCATCCCAGGCCGCGGCCACGACCCATACCAGGCCGCCCATCAGCGCTGGTCAACCACACAGGTAGGCCGAGATGCGGATCGCGCTCAGCACCGCGCCGACATGAGCGATCCGTCGTCAGGAGTACAGCACAGAGGCGGCCAGAAG